TGCGTCCAGCCTTGGGACATAGAAAAGAAGACCGAAAGCGGCAGGGGGCGTAGGTTGCCGGCAAGGCCGGACCCGCCACTCCACACCCCCTGGTCCGAAAAACCACACTGGACCAGAATTATAACAAACAACAGAGATGGGTCAAAAAGATGAAATGATGACACAAGTCACTCAGCAGCCATGCACACGGCCTGTATACCCAGCTGTAGTGTGAACGCCTCCACCATCAGGCAGCCAGATGCCAGGCAACTGCCCGCGCACGTCAGACTGCGAGAGCCATGGTTTGTTGAATCGTGGCATAGCATACGCACACAGTCCAAAAAAGCCCACAAGGTTGAGAAGCAGCAGTCATGCATTTAGCCTAGGCTGCCACCCTTCAGTGACCGGTTAACCAATCAGTCATCGACTAAGAGGACGCTAACTATAGGCATCATTGGGTTGCCTGACTCGGCCAGCTCAGTTGTGTATGTGGGGGGAAACATGTTCTGGCATCTTCTCCTGAAATGCCTCCTGGAACACACCTTTTTGTCTCAATCTGAAGTGAAGCAAGTACAAGGTCAGCCTGCCTGGCTGCATAGAAGTTTCCGATTAGGCCACTACTGAGTCCTCCGCGTGGTCCAGTGGTTCACCCCAAAGTTGTCGGCAGTCCAAATCACAGATCTGGACTAAATCTTACTTTAGAAATGAATACGTTTGTGCCACAACCCTTTGAAGGTCGCGTATTAATCCCAAACTTGGGAGTAACATTACCACTTGTTCAGCTAATACAAAAATCTACTAAACGAAATGCAAACTACTGATTGCATGTTGTTTTCTCAATGTTCTCAATGTTCGATGGGTAAAATATCATCAGTCGTCCAAGGTCCCCACAGTATTGGGCGTACAGTAAAAAGACATGCGCGCTTTTGAGTAAATACCCCTAAACAACGCAAGTAGAGGAATAAGGATATGACGCTTCGTTTATGTCAAAATATTCTGTCAGCGCATGGGTTCCTAAACTGTTCCATATCCTGAACCCCTAAAAATGTTACATATGTTCTCACACCCCTAAAACAGTTTCTAAAAATAAAAACAAATTTGCGTAATCAAATTTTAATATTAAACAAAAAATAATGACTAATTTTTTTTACTGTTTAATGGGTAAGAGTTTTTCATATCGTGGCCCTCTGCTGCTAATAGCTGCGATTGCTGCGGACAGTGACATTTTTTCAAAGCATCGCTATCAAGCTGCATCTTAAGAACACAGTTTTGACGCAGTCTTAAAAGACATTCCTGTCGTTCTTTATCATCCGACATATAATGGAAATTGAAAAGGTGTGCGCTTATAATCCATGTTTCCGGGGTTTCATTGCTCCTTCTTTGAAATACCCATAAAATGACTTTGATAATACTTCTTAATTATTAAAAATTTCTCCGCACATATTTGGAATTAGACACTCGTTGTTACCAAACATTTCTTTGAGTAATGGAAATGTCAGAAAGTTTTACTCTTCTGATTCGCCGACTCCAAAGTTGTACATTTTCTTTGTAACAGTTTATCTCCTTGCATCCGGTTAATATGTTTACATTGTCCCCTAAAGAAATACAGTCAGATCATTTGAATAAGTGAAAATACCTCTCAAGTAGGCTAGCATATGGTTGAATTCTTGCAATTCCACTTCACCAACGAGATCATAGTCTCGCTCCTTCAGAAATGCCCTGACTTCTTTTCGCAGTCCAGAAAAACACGTCAACGCATTCCCACGTGACAGCCACCGGACTTCTCTATGGAAAGCCAAAACCTAATTTTCACTTCCAAATTCTTCGCAAAACAACTTAATGGGGTGATGGTTCAGAGTGCGACTCCCAATCCAGTTGACGGTCTTCACTGAAGTTGCAAGGACTTTCTTCTTCATTGGAGATAAGTTTGTTGACGCCAAAGCATGTCGAGGAAGGAAACAGTGGGTGACTTGTAAGTGCGAAATCTCCTGTTGCGTCAGTACAAAAAAGTCCTGATTTGTTCCCTAGCATAGGAGAGAAGTCTTCAGTACGTGCAGAACCATTAAAAAATCTCGCACTCCCTAGGATGCCAGCATGCGTCCCTGGAAGTTGTACAGGTAACTTGTCAGAATAAAAGTATGCAAGAAGTTGGTAGAAGACAATATTAGCTTTAGTATAAGTTGCTTCCATTCGTCTGCCTCCACCAAAGGCCGGTGGAAATTGACGGAATGATGTTAGGTGAACACCACTCACGTCTACCTTACTATATGCGAAAGCCGCTGCCGTTCTCGCCTCGTGCAGCGTCAATGTATCCCTCCGTAAAATATATTTGAATTAATAAGACCGCGAAAATCAACGTGAAAATGGCATGCCAATTAAGTAGTCATTTTTACCAAATGCGGCACCCACAAAAGGGCCGAAAAGAAATGCACTCAAAAGCAGACATCCTGTTGAGTC